ATCATCGGACTCGCGCTTGGATTGATATGGTAAAATCGACGTCGTCGTCTTTATAGTGTGTGCAATCGCTGAGGACTGAGGAAGCCTCCAGAGCTTACGGTAATGGGCTTTAGCTTCCGACACGCTCTGTACGCGGTACACCAATCACAACAGACTGGGCCATCTGACCAATCAGAGCACAGTAGGCTCGCGGAATTGAGGGATTTAGAGACTGATTCATCCGTCGAGTCGTTTGAGAATCAGTGAAAAAGTGGTGATGTGCAATGTATTTTATGAGAAAATGATTTTTTTTTTACCTTTAATGCATGTAAACCTATTGTTGGAGACTTCCAAAACAAAACCAGGAACCTTTAAAATAGCATAATAGGTGCACTTTAACAACATGCTAACTCCAACCTCTGTTGAAATCAGTCACTAGCCAAAAAACTGTAGGGCTGTGTTTAAAATCGCCCTCTATTCCCTCATTTACTATTCCCTAAATGAATCCACTAATATAGTCTACTTGAAGCAGTGGATAAAAACGAGTGAGTGAATTCAGACTGAGTGCGCCGGAAGCAAACTGGATTTATCTTGAACTGTCAGGGAAACTGTACTTACTCAAACAGTTGAAAAATCGATTAAAAATGAATTTATACCTGTATGATATTACGCTGTACCCACATTGGACCAGCACTTTGGAAAATGGATGGATGGATGATTCATCTGCGGGCGAGACGCAGTAATTCATTCGGTGCAACCCTCACAGTGCATTATGGGTATTGTCTTGCTGTTGCGTGTAGATCGGTTGTACACTTGTTATTGCGGTGCATCATGGGATTTAATGAGTGCACACGATAATGTTCACTATGGTTTCGGACACCACTACAACTGGCTGTTCCCTCAAATAGTGCCCTATATAAGGGAATAGTGAGAGATTTTGAACACAGCCTAGGTCATGCTCAATAACATTTGCAAAGTAAAGTTTGGTAAAAACATTTCTGGTTAGTGAGACTTGTTATTTTTTGCTGCCACCTGTTGTTTTGTAGAATAGGGCAAAAGTTAAAATGTCAAGTATATAAATACCTGTCGAGTGTTGTGAGATGTGTGCGTCATCTGTGAAGTTAACTCTCTTCATGTGATTCTCTTGCAATTATTTCTGTCATTTCTTTACCACATTCCTTTCAATGGAGTTTGCTCCCTCTCTTGCTCATAGCTCTTCCGAGAGAGGATCTGTATGTGTGAAGTGTGTCAATATCTGTAGGAGTGTTTATCTGTTTGACCTTTGTCCTGCAACAAACACACACATATTTGCATATATATAATACTAACATGTGAGAACAGGCGTACTATTCATTATCCTATAAGCGTAGGCTTCTTTGGCTTCAGTGGATATTTCTATTATAAAGATAGAGAAAAACCTAGATAACTGATATATATATATATCCATATGCTGATTTGGTAAGCAGAAGACAGCAATCAACATTGCCTTTTTTAATGCTTGTGCAATGTAATAGTGCAGATGTAGTGCAGTGATGTAATGGGTGCTTTTCACAGTAATCAATCATTTTCCATGAAGTGGATGTGTAGTTGGCCATGTGCATGAAGCAAAGGTTCTGTTTGCTTTTTACTTAGCCAAGTATAGCCTTATTTCTATCAACCACTTATCCATATTCTAATCTTGATATTGTTTAGCCTTTTGAAGGTATTCTGTCTCAAAATGCATGCATTTTCTCTAAGATAACTTAAAATGGTGGTTTCATTTCAATGAGAGGAACAGCCATTGTAACCAAGTAGATTCAAAATGTTTTATTTCAAGAAAAAAAATAGTCCTATTAAAAATAAAATGCTGTGTAATGTTGATGATGCTGATAACGTTGATTATTTTACATATCTGCTAACATATGCTTGTTTCTGCTTCTTCTACGCCTGTGTTTGATCAGGAGATTCAGTGATCTTTCAGAATATGAAAAGATTCTACCGTTTAACAGTGAAAACACGGAAAGCCGGAAATTTCTGTCCATGGCGGGGAAAGAGTTAACTAAAGGGCCATTCACAAAGAATAACTAAGGGGCCATTCACGCGATAGACATGTTTTTTGATCAAGAGACACGTCTTTTAAAAGTTGAACTTATTTTAACCTGAGTGTCCCGACGGTTGGAAAAGCGGCTAATGTTATAAGGATTTTAAAGATATATACCTGATATATGCACCAATGCAAAATGTTCTATATTGTAATCATTTACTTCGATGAGCTCATTGTTTCTGCTTAAAATTAAAACATGATGTTAGCTAACTGCGTGATTTGTATATGTACATTTCTGAAATGCATTACTTCTCAGGGGAACGCAAAACATTTGTGAGAGAAGTGAGAACGCAAATAGTTTTTTTTAATTGTTTTTTTTATTTAAATTTTTTATTTTGAAATGACATAATTTTTCCTCCCATCTCATTTTTTTTTCACCACCATGTCCCTTTAAGGGCTCCGTGAAAACAATATTTATTGTGAAAAGTGTTATACACATACATGTGAATTGAACTGAGTATACTTGGAAAGGATACGCGTTCGACTGTACGTATACGCTAGCATTCACTTAAAAAAACGAATTTTACTTTGGGTTTACAGAAAGAGAAAGACGTGAAAATGAAAGAATCACAAAAATTGCAGAATGATGTTTTAACAAATTTCGGAAGGAACACGTTCAAATGATCTATCCAATCAGCACAAGAAGAGGCCTATATATAGTACGCAGCCGACTCACCTACTGTATGTTCCTGGGCAGTTTTCAGCATCCCTCCACATCCCCGTCTCCTCACACTCACCTGGTTCCTATCCTAGCCAGGAATACGGGGGAGTACTCTGGGTTCTGGCCAAAATCCCGCTCTCCTCGGACAGCATGCCAAATACGCATACTCTTTTACTGATCTGATTATTTGTAAGTGTGAACTCGTGAATTGTTCTTTGTGAAAGGGGTCATCATTTGGTTGATTTAAGCCGGATGTGAAGTTGTGTGTGTAAATGGAGCGGCCTGATGAGAGTGACTGTATGCAGAGTTGGCAGTGACTTGAGTGTTCACAAATTACCACCAACTGTGTGATTGTGATGGAGTTACGGCTAACAGAGTCACACAAAACACACACACACACACGAACACAAGTTTGATTCTACACCCCTTAATAACATTAATAATAAATTCCTGATACTACAGCAAAAATAAATATCCCATTAAACATACCTTAAAAAACTGTAAATATTAATATAGAGTTCACTCTTAAATTAGAACATGTTTTCACATATTTCCCAATTAAGTAAACAAAGTAATTACACACTAAAATGAATTAGATTAAGGGCTCTTTTTCTTGCCAATATTGTTGTTTGCTAAATATTAATGACATAATACACAGCAGCAGATCTATTAGGGTGCATTTATACTGGAAGACTCCAATATAGACAATGTATATATATATATATATATATATATATCACTCAGATACATTCTTAAATTGTACATGAACTTGTCTGCCACGGATGCATTTCAAGAGATGTGAAGAATGAGGGCTTCTATCCAAAGGCAATGGATTCAGAGAGAAAGAACTATGATAAAGGCATTATTTTATAATTATATATATTTTTATATATTATGTCATCTGTACTGGTTCACAATTTGTACAGATTATTTTCATACTGATTGTGAATCATACTGAAGTGGCCACCTTTACCCAGACCACATTTTCAAGTGGACTTAGATTTAAAAAAAAACGTTTCACACCAACCAGATGAACTGAACACTGATGTCAAACAGACACTGAATGTACTAGCCCTTCTGTTTTCCAAAGTTACTGTTGTCGTGACTAAACAATCCTCAAAAGCCTTAAAGTTGTATTGGAAATGAAGTCTTCCTGTATTTAATCCCCTGCCATCATCTTCTGCTGCTTTCATTGTAAATAGAGGAAACATCTCTAACAGACGCACACCATGTGGGTGGTGCTTTAAATAAAATTGTTGCTTAGCCAATTTCTCTTGTGGATGCCGCCAGATGACACTGGTTGTCATGGTTACGGGCCATTTCAGTAGCTTCTATTTTGATCTATTATTCTGGTCAGATATGGGTCAAAAACTGACCCAAGTCCTCTAAGCGAGGAATTCTGTGGAGAATACTATTGCAGGTCCATTTTATTCAAGCTTTTGCCATACCTGCTATTTACAGCTGAAATGAAGCATATATATATATATATATACATACAGTATTTTATTATTATTAAAAGCTATCAAAAATTATTTTGTTGTCTTTATTTGTTGCTTTGTATGTCTTTTGGAATTGGAATTGGATTATTGGAATTTCATGTCAATTAAATACACAGCCTTACAGTTTAATTTCTGCAGTTTAGGGTGTTTTTAGAAAATGTGTAAACTAGACTCCAGTTCTGATGCCTGTACCAAACTGTAATGGGCAATGTAGCTCCTTTGACAAGGAGAAGCAGATATGCTTGAGCATTTTGCCTTTTTTAAGGTTGCATCTTGTGACATCACATCCTGTTTTTGGTTAGTTTAGATGTCTTGATGTCCATGTTACGTTCATATTTCAGCCAATCAGAAGGTGGGTCTCAGTCCGCTTGTTTGGTGCGCACCAAGGTCAGGGTGGCAGCGTTCACACTTATTCAAATATGCACTAACAGAGCAACTGCACTAACAGAGCAATCGCACCAGGGTTCGTTTTAATCGAATCAAACCTGCCAAGTATGAACACACACTTATTGTTGCAGTTCCTGAATAAATGAATCAATCAATTAATGACCAATTGGAGAGGCACTCCACTTTATTTACTTAAATAATGTTCCCTAAATTTTAAACTTGGGCTGCCTTTCTACTCATCTTCCAAATAATTTGCGCTGGATCACAAGGGTTAAAAGTGACATCAACTCGTTAAACTGATCTGAGAGTTCTGCTGTTGCCGAGTACTACACAGCTGAAAATATTATTAACATTAATTGAATTGTTTTCTTCTTTTTGTGTTTTTTTGCAGAACCGTGAGCTTCAGATCATGAGGAAACTGGACCACTGCAACATTGTGCGTCTGCGTTACTTCTTCTACTCCAGTGGAGATAAGGCAAGTGCCTCTCTTGTATCACTTAATCTTATGCTGTTATCTCACGCTACATCACAGCGTGCTCTTTTCAGTGCCATATGTCTGAACTAGGCAATATAGTAAACACGTATATTCACAATGTATTTGCAATGATTTAGCTTGTGACATAAGATTAAGTAGCATCATGTCGCAATGATTTTAGGGTGATTTCTATTTGTTGTGCGGTTTATATTTCATTAAAAAACAACTTATTGACCCCAAACTTTTAAAAGTTCATTTTATTTTGACTAAATATGGCCAGAATGTAAAAAAAATATATATATATTAAAGGGGTGGTAAAATGCCCTTTTCACAAGATGTAAAATAAATCTCTGATGTCACCAGAGTGTGTATGTGAAGTTTTAGCTCAAAATACCCCACAGATATGTTTTTAAAGCATTTTAAAATTGTCACTTTTTGAGGATGAGCAAAACGCACCGTTTTTGTGTGTCCCTTTAAATGCAAATGAGCTGCTGCTCCCGACAAAGAGGGCGGAGTTTCAAGAGCTCCAGTGTGTTAGCAGCTCGATTATCTCACACAGACAAGAACTGAACATTTTTAAAAAAACTTTTTAGTAGGGATGCACGATATAGGACTTTGGCCGATATTCGATATGCCGATATTTTCAAACTAATTTTGCCCGATGCCGATACCGATACCGATATATTTGTATTTTTTTTTAAGTGCAAAAAAAGCTTATTAAAGCTTCTATTAATGTTCTCAGTCAAGAGCAGTGAGTGATTTCCTCTGTGTTTTGTTGTTTTATTAACATTAACGGGATAGTTCTCCCAAAAATTTAAATTGTCATCATTTACTCTCTCAAGTTTCTTTCTTCTGTTGAAATTATAAAAGTTATTTGGAAGAATGTGGCTAACCAAACAGTTGCTGTACTCCAGTGACTTCCATCGTATATTTAAGCACAAGAAAGAAATGAATCCAGGTTTGAAACAACATTAGATAGACATAATTTTTATTTCTGGGTGCAGTATCTCTTTAAAGACAAGCGGCAGAATATTATGACTGTCTCTTTAAGAACTGCACGCGAGTAACGCGACGCGTCTAATATACACGCATTTGACAAGCAGATTTTCTCTGTTTGCTTTCACTTTAGACATAACCAACTTTGTTTATGTAAACCTTGTGTGTATTTGACAGTATCAGCGCAATAAGAATCGAAAGATTAGTCCAGTGTGCAGGCGCTGTGACAGGCTTTTAGTTCCTGTGAGCGTCGCGTGTACGCGCTCAGAAAAGCGGATGTTAGAACAGCGCATCAGCACGTGAATGACATGTGAATGACGGGCGACAGTGGCTCAGTGGTTCATGTGGGTTGTCTACAAACCAGAAGGTTGGTGGTTCAATCCTCGGTTCCACCTGACCAAGTGTCGAGGTGTCCATGAGCAAGACACCTAACCCCAGCTGCTCCCGACGAGCTGGATGGCGCCTTGCATGGCTGCCGTCGCCCGTCGGTGAATGAATGAGTGAGTGAATGGGTGAATGTGAGGCAAATTGTAAAGCGCTTTGGTGGCCATTGGGTCTGTGAAAGCGCTATATAAATGCAGTCCATTTATAAATGCAGTCCATTTTTACCTAGCAAGACTTTGACGCACATGCAAACAATGAACTTTTGTGAATTGCGGTTTCCCATGAGTGTAACTCTACCTCTGCGTTTACATGTGATGTGATGTGAATGTACGTCGCGTTGTACAGTATGTTGAGATGAAGGCGCCAGAATTGAACTGATAGAATGCACGATCAGAAACCGTGAGACGCACACCCCTAGTTGGAAGTTTAAGTTGCTGGCGCTCATGCTTCGTTCACGGTCGTCACGTGCGCATAGGAAACACGCCACCCTATCGGCAAGGCTCATCGGCAGAAATATTCATATCGGCCGATGCCGATGATGGTCATTTTAAGCTTTTATCGGCCGATACCGATGTTGTCCCGATATCATCGTGCATCCCTACTTTTTAGCCTTTTATGTTCAAACTGGAGTCGGACAAAGATGGAGAGACTCAAGAAGTGACAACATGTAGACAACATTTCTGAATGGTTAGTTGATGAATTTATGTAGCTTAAGTTTAGTCATCTTCTAGTCATTTATTAGCAATATTCTGAATATTCTAATTTATGAGTTTATTAGCATATTCTGTCTTGATAATCTATAAATCGTGTTCCCGGGGGCGGGGTTTATGTCAATTTTAGGGTTAGTGATGTCAATAACCCGTGAGGAATGTCGTGTAGTCCCTACCAGCCGTTTGTTGTAGTCCTTAAAAAGCAATTTCTTTAAAAGCAAATTTCTCCCTTTGCTTTGAACTTTGAGCGTTGTAAATTTGCAGATGTTGTTTATGCTCAAACAGCAACATTACACACTGACTAAAGATAGAAAAGTGAAATCATAATTAACCACCCCTTTAAGAGATTTTTTTTTAAACTATATCGCCCAGCCCTAGTCTAAAAGCCTCTGTGTTTTTATTAATCTCTAATGGAGTCTAATGGTGGCCAGATGCTGACCAGAGATAAATCCACTCTGAGAACTTCTTCCCATGTGATTATCTGTGTATCTGCTAGACATACAGTACGTAGGCTTGACACTCTCTGACTGAGCTATTAAGACACACACACACACACACACACACACACACACATAAATACTGTCAACACTGCAACATCGTCTGACCACCAACCACATATCTACCTCTCGGTCTTTCTTGGTCTCGCTTATCTCACACATCATACGCACATACCCTCTCGACCTCTCGCCCACACACCATGACTTTGCAAAAACGCCTGACCACCGTTTTTTCTTCTCTGAGAAACATGCTTTCGAAATGTCAGTGGCTGGTTTCCGCGCTCACACACCCACACACACGCCCCTACCCCTCTGTAACCCAGAATCACAGAGCACCAGGGTAAAGGCTGACAGGGAGTGCATGGAGAACAGGTCCATAAAATACTAATAATGATAAAAAGTCTAGGTAACTGGAACAAGAGCTGAAGGGGAAGGAAGATATACAGATGAAAAAATCGTGTCCATGGCGGTAGTGATACGGCAACAGTCCATTCGTTCACTGAGAACAAACCCTTAACATTGGTCCAAGATCATTTTTATGTTAAAATGCTCTTTTCCGAGCTTAAAAGTGAAGTGTGTCATTTCTGTGCTGTACTAAACTCCCAAAAGCATTATTAGCCAACTTTGGTAACATTTTCCATCATTGCCAACATAGTGATTCTGATTGAACAGCTTTCTGTTGTTTGTGAAAATGAACTGTAATAATATGACATTAATTGCAGTCTCGAATTGATTAAACAGCAGAAGTTATTACTCCAACTCATTAACATCTGTCCTATATTGTTGAACCAAAACGATGGAGGTGCGACTAGTTTCTTTACGGCCCTTTCACACCACAAAACGTAAATGCGATGAAGATTTTGAATAGAATTGGTGGATTCATATGGAGCTATTCACACCAGACGCAAACATTTGGCTCGTCAACAAATCTAGGTTTTTTTCTTTGGTGAATGTGTAATTATTTTTTTCTTCATTGGCTGATGATAATCACCAGAACCTGTGATCAGACATTCGATTTTATATTATGACAATGCTTGGCAACTGTAAGCATCCGGCCTGTTCCCACCAAGGATGATAACTATAATGATAACTATAACCATGAATTTTTTTAAATCACTCTCACTCTAAGAGATAGTATGGAAGACTTTTTATATCACAACTGAGAGTTTATTTCTCGCAATTGTAAGAAAAAAAAAGTCAGAATTGTGTAATATAAAGTCGCAATTGTGAGAAAAAAAGAATTGCAAGTTCATATCTTGCAATTCTGACTTTATAACTCGCAATTATAATACTATTGTGAGATATAAACTTGCAATTGCAAGTTATAAAGTCCAATTCTGAGGGGAAAAGACTATATCTTGCAATTCTGACTTTATATCACGCAGTTCTGCCTTTATAACACGCAATTGCAACTTTATATCAGAATTGCGAGATCGAAACTCATAATTGAATGAGAGAAAAAAGTCAGAATAGTAGGATAACAAGTTGCAATTACCTTTTGTATATTTTATTCTGTGGCGGAAACAAGCTTCCATAGAATAGCAAAGTCCACACTACAACTATAACGATAACGTCACAGTGGGACGATATCATTGATATCCCTTTCAGAGTGTTTTTTCCCCAGCTGATGAACAATAAAAACATTGACAGCCAAACAGAATCAACTCGACTTTAAATAGCTCAAGCATTTAAAGTGGCAGACGACATAATTGCAGCATGTGCTTATAATAAAGTTACGTCCGTTGGTGTGAACACTAGTATAGTTATTCTTTATAGTTATCATTCTTGGTGTGAACAAGCCTTTACACAGCGCCTACACCAGACCCAATTAGAACATCTCAACTAAATCGCCCCCATCATAATCAATAAAGCTGTCACTGTAAATGTCTGTCTGATTCAACAGTGCCTTAAATGGTTTAGCAGAATCTCTACCAGTGACACATTTCTACCGTTGCATGGTGTGCACCATCATACCGCCCAGTAGACTGGTTAGCTTCTCTCTACTGTAATTTTAGCAGCTGCTCTGTTTTTTTGCCTAGTATAAACCACCATGAAATCAGAGCCCAGAGCATCTCACGGAGAGATAAAACACAAAGATAGAGAGAGGTGGATGACGTAGGCATGGAGAGAGAGAAAGAGATTAAAATCAGGCTTGAAAAGAGACAGTTCAACAATGATGAGGTGGCGTCATGTCTGGACGTGGTCTGCTCTCCCTCCAAACAACTTCCACTTCAGCAAAGTGTCACGATTAGTAGAAGTGTTGTTGCACACTGCAGACAGCACTCTGCTGGAGCCTGACCCCAGACCCCTTTAAATGACTCTCTCTACAGCCACAGGCTCAGTTCCAAAGCATAGTGAGTGGCCTTGCTGTTCTGACTACATGAACACGTACAAATGATGTATCGAGAGGAGG